GCAGAGAGAGTGAGCGTCTAGGGGAAAAAACAAAAAACACCGGAGAGTGTTGGGGTGGGGGAAAGACCCCAAACACTGTGACAGCAAGAGGGTTTCCTGCAGGGCTGGGTTGCCAGAGCATGGACTTCTCTTCCTGGGCAGTGGCCTCTGTCTGTGGAGGAACCATGGGTCACCAATGTGTCCATCTCCCCACTCTGCCCAGGCCTATACATACGTTGGTCAGCACAGGACCTTGCCAGGGAGGTGCCAGGCCTGCTACAGGAGGAAAGGCCTAGATGGCAGGATCTTCAGCAGCAGCCCAGGTGGACTGCGGGAGGTGGGAGAGTGGGGGAGGGCGCCCTGAGAATGCTGGAGCATGGCACAGTGGGTAGGGTGTAGTCAACATTGGAGAAACAATAGGTTCCCTGGAACGTGCCTCTCATCTGCTAGTAGGTTGCCCTTGGGAGGTTGCAAAAAGAATGACTCACACCGAATGAAACCAAAACCCAGCTCTTACGTGACAGGTTGTAGAAGATGGAACAAAAGGCTGAGAGAAGTGCCCATGCCAGAGTGGCTGCAGCATGAAAATCCAGAACACCTGAGACACCACTTGGAGATGACACCCTAGGGTACGGGGCACTCTTCACTGAGACACTGTAATCTCCTCATCTGGGGTCAGCAACCTAGGACATGGTCCGAATCTATTCGCCCCTCATTTCCAGGTTGCCATTGCCTGCTGCTGTTCTACAAAGGGACAGGACTAGATACAGAAACGGAGGACCCAAAGTCTGCAAAGACCACAGGGCATCCTTCCTCCCTTTCTAGAAAGAGTTTCCTGACCTCTGTCTACACAGTGACTAATCTCTATGATGCTGGCTCCCCAGTAGGAAGGACAGGAGGGTCTGGGCCCCAAGAGCAGAAGTGGGCATCTCTACTCACCAGAGTTCCCAGGGTCATCCTGGAGGAAACGGCGCTTCCCATCCCCCCTGCACAGGTTCTGTGGGGAGCTTGGGCTGTGTTTGCTGATGCATGACCTCAGGCAAGCGGCAGAAGGTGCCACGTGGTGTAGGAGGTGGTGAGGGCCCCTTCATGGATGGGGAGACCTCTGGGGTGACCAACTGGGCTGAGGTGGGGAGTGAAAGGATGTGACCTGGGTGGTGGCAGTGGGTGGCGATGGGAGGGGTGGGAAGTGTCTGCTGAGCCTCTGGGTGCAAGTGAGTGTCTGCAGGACAGCGCAGGGGAAAATTGAAGAACAGGGAGCCCTGGGGGTGCTGGAGGGTTTGTGTGGTGGAGAACGGGTGTGAACAGAGCAGGTCTGTGTCTGGTGGGGGTGTCTGTGATCCTGTACCTGCGGAACCCCCTTCATCCCTGTCCTGACCCCAGCTCGGGTTCCGGGGCTCTGGTTTCTGCTTCCTGAGGGCGGGTGGGACTGCCAGACTGCACAAGGGATTTCCGCCCCACCTCGCCCTCTGCAGCTCTCTGGCCCCTCCACCCTCCTGAGGTTCCTTTCCAGCCTCCTCTCTGCCATGCTGGAGGCCGGGAAAAAAGCAGCAGTGGGGAGTGGACCCGGCAAGAAGGAGCCGCGGAGCAGAACTGAGCTGGGGCGCAGTCCGGGGAGATCGCGCCGGTCCTTCCAGAAGCCTCACCTGCTCTGAAACTCGCTGCAGTCCAAGGCACCCAGGTTTGGTCCCCGCCCTGCTTAGGCTCCATCCCAGAACTCACCAGCCCTCTCTGCCCGGGACCATCCTGACAGCTGGAGCAGAAGCGTTAGGCACTGGAGCAACGCGGAGCTGGCGGCCGATGCCATTGGGGACCCGGAGCGCTGAAGACTAGTGACTTGGTTGGGGAGCCTGGCAGATGAATCACCTGGGGGCTGAAAGCCGGCTCATAAAGGCTTGCTATCGCCGTTCCCAAAGGCCTTGCGACACCCGCTGTCCCATTGGACCGGAAGCGCAGGGAACTAGAGTCTGGACCCAGTGGACCTACTACCCCGGGCTTGCTGGCTGACAGGAATTGCCTGTAGTGTGAAACACAAGCAGGTCTGGCACCTATTCTTCTCCCCTTGGAAGAGACACACTCCCTTAAACACTTTCGGCATTCAGGCGTCTACCCCCTAGAGCTCAGCCAAGTCAACTCTAATTCATTGCATATGCATTTACCCTGCTCCCCCCTTTCTCCCCGGCTTAGGGCTTTCGGAGAGTTGCTGCTTTCTCTGCCAACTTCCCTTCTGGCTGCCTGCCCGAGTCGTTGGCTGCCCGCCCGAGTCGCTGGCTGCCCGCCCGAGTCACTGGCTGGCTGCCTGCCCAGGCCCCAAGCCTGCCATTACGGGCTTCCTTCCATGACCGCCTCATGTAATAATAACAGTATTTTCTTTATTTTTTATTAACCCAATGTGGACACCGATGCACAGAAGGGTGAAGAAAATGCACAGCAGTGTTCAGCGGCGAAGGGGTCTCCCTGCCTTCCCTCTCCCTGCGCTGCGGGGTGACCCGCTCCCTGCCCGGTGCGCAGCCCCATGCCAGGTCCCATCCCCGCGGCGGCTCCCCAAATCCCCGGTGGACGTGGTTATAGCCGGGGTAGGTTGGTTTGTTTGTTTCTTCGTGATGGTCTCGCTCTGCCACCCAGGCTGGAGTGCAGCGGCGCAATCTTCATTCACTGCAACCTCAGCCTTCTAATTCAAGGGATTCTCTTACTTCAGCCTCTGGAGTAGCTGGGACCAAAGGTGCGCGCCACCAAGCCCGGCTAATTTGTGTATTTTAGTGGAGACCGAATTTCATGATGTTCACCAAGCTGATTTCGGACTCCTGGGCTCAAGTGATGAGCCCGTCTCAGCCTCCCAAAGTTCTGAGATGACAGGGGAGAGCCACCCTGCCTGGCCTGGGGCTAGATTTTATTTATTTATTTATTTTTACACACACAGCATTTTTATTAAATATGCTCTGTGAGAAAAAGAACACCCTAAAGTGCCAGATTTCTTGTAAATCTGATAACTTAGTAAATACAATGGTGAAAAAAAAAATCAGAGGAAACATAATTTAAATAATCTTATTAAAGAGCAAGAACATATCTTAATCTTCATATAATAACGCAATCATCAAAATATAGAAGGGAAAGAAATCTCTTTGTAGAAGAATATATTTCAAAGTACACCTGTTGATCATTTCATTTAAAAAATTCTAAACACATGGGCAGTCTCACTCTTACCAATATATGTGTTTAAATCAATGGTAGTAGGGGAATTTAGACTACTCATTCACACTGACATAAAGTGACATTTTTGTTGCACAACAGTATTGCTCACTGGCACTAACAGTGGAAGCTGGAGGAAGTAGATTTCTGGATTCCATTATTAGCAGCAGACATGGACTAATGTTAAAAATTTAGAAAAAAAAATAGGTCCAAGCTGTAGCTACTTCCAAGTAACACATTAACCAAACATTGCCAATTTGTAATGGGCTATAAAAAAACATGAAAATACTCTACATTGAATATTAGCTTTATGTTACTTTTTGTTAAAGATATTCAGTGGGCATATTGTAAATTATATAGGGCATCTATAGAGACCTAAATTAGCAAGTATAATACGAAGCTAACAGGATAGTGTCAATATATCTTGGGATGTTCTAGCCAATGTTTGTCTACAACTATTTGGAAGGAGTCAAATAGCTATATGCACATTCAAAATGAATACTTATAAAAAGAAATCTTAATGTATCAGATATCCACAAACTGAAAAGTGTTACACATGTTATGGGGGAAAGATACTGATAGTTGGCTGAATGACCAATTAATTATACATACCACTTATGAAAAGCTGGGTGATTCAGGTGCAAAAAAAGAACATATATGTACATGTATATCTCTAGTAACATACTACCAACATATATATGTTACATGTCACAGTTAAAGCTGTATTACCAAACTAGGATATGTAAGATATCAATGCAGCTAAAATTAAGTTTTAAGTAAAAAGCTGCTGCTACTTAACAAGAGAGTGAACTTTGGGATTTATTGAAGAATTAGTTCTCATATATAAAAACGTTTGATATTAATAAACAATACTTGTCACCATAAGGTTTTAGACAGTATAGAAACTTACAGAAAAGTGATTTTGGACCACTTTAGTTGGAGGAAGCAAATAAAACTGGATTATGAGTATGAATGCATTTATGATCAAAATTAATACACACAAAAATCAAAACACATTTCACAGCAGAACCTGCAAAAACTTTTGTATTCATCTTTTTTGAACTATAATAAAGAATGAATTAGACTTGTCTTAATAAGACTTTTAAGCAACAATAATTTAATCACGAAGTATCAGCTTGATTATGAATATATTCTATTATCTGTATCAGCTGGTTAATTAACTGTGTTATCCAACACGGCTGACCAGCTCTAGCTAGTATGAACAGGATATTGAATTCTTTAATGAATATATAACTATTTTCAGCATACAAATAATCTCTGGTTTTATACCCACTACATTTTAGAATTCTGTAAACTGTCAGGCATAGAATATGTTTAATGTGGCAGAAAATCATATGAAATGATTATTTTATTCTGTTCAGTCCTTTTCCAATTAAGCATGCAAACACCGTCATAATCATCTTTGGTTTCACTTCTACGAGGTCATCAGGTAATGCATATATCTGGGCACCGATCTTTTGAGCAACTGAAATGGCATATTTAGCATTGTTCAGCTTGTCCTCATCAGATAAGCTTTCTCTCTTGATCATTTCTTGACGAATTGCATTTGGTGCAATGGCGTCTATTAAATCTAGGACAGGTAAACTTGTGCTTATAGATTTATCCTTGAATCTGGAAATAGAAGTATTTTTGTTTGCACTTTTAAGAGTCTGATTGACCCATTTAATAATAATTTCATCATTTACTTTTTCACCCTCTCCAAGATCCGATAACACATTCAATGTGTACCTTCTCATCAGCTGCCATACCAATGCCAGCGTAAGAGTTGAATTCCCTTCATTTAGGTCCTGCGCAGCAATGCCAGCCAAGGAGAATTTGGCCTTGTTCTTCCCAAGTTCCACTGCATAGTTTCAGTTTTCAATCTTCTTCATGTTCCCTCCAAGGGCAGGATAAGGAGGTTTATTGACATGGCTCCAGTTGACTGGCACTTGTATAATCTCATAGAGCTGAAAGATCACTAAAGCATCTGCAAGGTCACTGTACAAATGATTAATGTATGGGTTGACTCCCAAGGAATTCATGCAGTTCTGAAATGTCCTCTCTTCCTTACTCTCTCCTTCCAGTAAATTCATGTCGATGTCATTATTATTCGGCTTGTGCAGGCATGGGTGTGTGTTAAACAGGTTGACCACAAAAGTTAATTAAGTTTAGGATTGCCTGAAACCACATCTGCAGGAGTAACAAACTGCTGATTTTATTAAAGAAGCACCAGGATTTCAGAGGCTTCAAACAATGTATTGTAAACTAAACATTAGTTAAGATGGTAAATTTTATGTTCTACATTTTTACCAAAATTAAACAGCTTTAAAAATTATCTTAAGAATGTGTGTCTTGCTCAGATCTGCGCAATTCGATTGACAAAGACTCTGCTCATTAAAATCGAGGACAGCATTGAGGTCCTTGTCTCTAAAATCACAACCTGTGGGACACCTTGCTGATTTAGAAAGCACATCAGAGAGATTGGCCCTAAGCTCCCCTTAGAATAGCGCCCCCACCAGGTGTGGGGAAGGCCCAGGGGGCTCAGCAGAGCAGGTTCAACTGCCCCCATGGCTCCCCATGCTTCCCAACTGCCAGGGCTTGCTTTTGGCCTGTTCCCCCTGGGCAAGGGCCAACCATCCTTCAAAACTGGGCACAAATACCCCTCCCATGTGTATCTCTCATTTTCCCACAAGAAAGAGCACCATCCTGCTCCATGAGACCAGGATCCACAGAGAGCGCATCTGGATCTCCCTGTGTGATAATTGCTCAGACATTCCTTTGCCTGTCTGCTAGAAGTGTGACATCTTTGAGAATGTCCTAGTCTCAAACTCCTGACCTCAGGTGATCCACCTGCCTGGGCCTCCCAAAGTGCTGGGATTACAGGCATGATCCACCATACCAGGTCTGGGCTAGGTTTTATTACAGAAACAGCAGGCAGGGTTTCAGAGGTTTAAATCAACATATTGTACACTAAGCAATTAATCAAGATGGTAATTTTATGTTCTATGTTTTTACCAATATTAAACAGCTTTGAAAATTACCTTAAAAATTTATGTCTTACTCCGGCTCCACCCAATGCAGATTAGCCAAAAGACTCTGCTCATTAAAATCGAGGCCAGCATTAAGGACCTTGACCCTAAAATCTCAACCTGGAAGACACTTGCTGGTTTAGAAAGCTCCTCAGAGAGATCGGCCCTGAGCGCCCAGTTCAGCAGCCGCCCTCGCCCAGGTCCACAGATGGCACAGAGGGCTCAGCAGAGCAGGTTCAAGTGAAAGTTCGTGGTGGTTCCCAACTGCTACTGCATTATGCTGGCCTGTTCCCCCTGGCCAAAGGGCCAGCCATCCATGAAAGCCAGGCACAAATACCCCCTCCCATGTGTGTCCATCATCTTCCCACAATACAGCACACCCTCCTGCTCCCTGAGACCTGAATCCACAGTGATGGCATCCGGATCTCCCTGTGTGACAACTGCTCATAAAATTTAATTTGTGTGTGTGAGCCTGTGTGTGACAAAGTCTTGCTCTGTCACCAGTCTGGAGTGCAGTGGCAGGATCATGTGTCACTGAAACTTCAGCCTCCTGGGCTCAAGGCTTTCTCCCCCTCAATGTGGGAGAGTAGAGGGCTTGGTAGTCTGAGCCTTCTGCTGAGCCTTCCTCTGGTTGCTGTTTCCTGTGCTCTGGCAGAAGCCTCAGTAGTATTCACACTCCTGACTTTACCATGCCCTGCCCTAGATCAATCCAGGGCTGAGTGGGTCTTGGCTGTGAGTGCAACCAGGCGAGTCATTCTGCCAGGCTTGGGAACTGTGCTACTCGGGAAACTTTTCTCGTCACTCACGCCAAGCCTGTCCCAGATGGGACATACTGTTCCTCCAGCAGCCTCAGCTGGGAACATGTGTAGGGCAGTGTAGCATCTGGGCCGGTGATGATGCACCACCGGCACCACCACATGCACCACATGCACCACCATGGCTTTTCAACTACATTTATTTTTTCTAAAATGGACAAACAGACTAGCAGTGAGTTATGGCAACACTGTTTTCCTTACTAACAGTAGAGATGTGTGTATGCATCAATGCTGGTTTTTAAGACAAATATAAGCCCATAGGCACTCTGCTGCATGCAGAGTCTCTCTCAAAATAACACATTTTGAAGATCTTCCCAGACCCGCACATACAGATTATTTTCCTTTTTATCTCTGCCCGACATTGCATAGAATGACTGCATCACAACAAAGGTAACCAGCGTCCATGGATGAAGATCCAGATGGTCTCCAGTCAGTTACTTTTACAGAAACCAAATGCTGCAGAAACTGTGCCTGCATGAATCCCAATTCAATTGTGTAGGATAAATTTCCAGGTACAGAATTGCTGTGCAAATTAATGCACCTTTAATGTGTCTCATGTCACAGGATGGCGATGCTGGCTACACTCTTGTGTGTGATTGTGAAGACCCAGCTTGGGCAGAGGATGGTGAAACATCGACCATAGAGGGAGAGGAACTGGTACAGGCTTCCTGAAGGACGGGGTGACAGGGCTCATCAAGAGTCAAAAAAATATCCAAGTCTGAGTTAAGAATATATATTCACATGCGTTTGAAATGGGGTAAATACTCCCTGGAAAGATGAGAAGAATCCAATAAAGTTTTGTCCTGGGCATGTGGCCAATGACAGTGGAGCAGGCAGGGGTTGGGGAGCCTTGCACACATGACTTTTATGGTTTTTATCCTGAAACTGGTGAATATATGGAGGTGAAGAAGTAAGGAGGAGTGGCCCCGGGAGCCCTAGGGACGGTCACCGGGTAGGCTGGCCCTGATCTGTTGTGGCCCAAGAGGGTCTGCCGATGCGGGACCCGCCGGCACTGGTCCTAGATATTTACCCAACCGTATTGTCATAGCGGGGATATTGCAGGTGATCGCTGCTTTCAAACACCAATGACTTTCGGGGAAAGTTCCCTCCTGCGGGTTTCACTTTCCACGTGGCAGCGTCTCTCCCAGCTCTGCGCGCTCCTCCCAGGGCGCCCGCTGTCCCCCAGCTCCGACCCGGTCCTGCCCGGTAGAGACCCTGGAGTGGGTGCCCCGCTGCAGGCCCATGTCCCCGGGCCTCCGGGTCCAAAGTCTGCGGAAAAGACGGCCTTTGGAAGACCTGGGAGGACTCAGCAATCGCGGCAAAAAACAGGCGGTTCCCGTATCAAGAGGTTCTAAGAAATGCGGGGCCTCGTGGGGTGAGGAGCCGCAGGTTACTCCTTCATCCTCGTGGGGACTTTGCCACTGGCTCAGTGTGGAGACGTCACAGTTCAGCTCGAATCCCTAGGGTTCCGACAGTGTGACCCCCGCGAGGATCCCCATACTCCTTCACCTGGGGCTGCTGCGGGAGGGCACCCGGGACACACGAGGTCCTGCGTGTCCAGGGTCCCGCAGGGGCTTCCCATTGTCACCTCCCGACCCCGCTGCTCTAGGTCCAGGGCTCCGGGTTTCTCTGCTAGGCGGCCCACTCCCCACCCCCCAGGTTGAACGTTGTGAGGCTCAGAAAACCTTGGGATGGTTGGAAAAGAAGGAACGGAGAGAGGGCAGGAGAAAGGGAGAGGAAGGAAGCCGGTCGGGCCAGAGAACAGGGAGATACCCCAGCCATGAAAAGGGGGAGAGGGTGACAGGCAAACACCCCCTCACTCCAGGGATTCTCCATCTCCTGCTCTCTGCCCTGTAAGGAAAGCCGGCCCACCCCCTCCACCCTCACTGTGTTTGGGGTCAGCCATCCCAGCGGGGTGAATCATCCCCTGAGGGTGCGATTGGCATTTCCATGAGGGCTGTAGACACTGAGCACCTTTTCCTGGGCTCACTGCCATTTGCATTCTTTTTCTGATGCCAGTAGGCAAGGGAAGGTCCCCAAAAGCTGATGCGAACTCGACCCCAGCTGGTGTCAGGCTCTTGACACCACCTGGGGAATTGAATTCAAGGACCAGTAGGAAAATAGAGAAAGGACAGAGATTTATTGCAAAAGGAAAAGTGCACACTCAGGTCAAAAGAGTGCAGGGGAGCTCCAGAGAGAGGCAGGTGCAAGGGCATTTGGGGCTGCCACCTTTCTGGGTTTCTTCAACCAAGGGGTAGAATATTCATGAAAATTCCTGGAAGAAGGAGAGGATTTCTCAGAACTGTGGTGACACCCATTTATACACCAAATATGGGTATTCTCAGAATTGCCAGGACGCTGGTGTGTGTGTGTGTTTAGTTTGTTAATGAGCATATAATAAGGTCCTAGAGGAAGCCGAGGTCAAATCCAGGATCTTGTTGGGTCTGCACATTCTTAGCCAGCTTGGTCCACACCCTGTCTTGTAGGGTCTTATCAGCCTACAAGATATTTTTCTGCAGATATTTCACCAGATTCCTTTTGCTGCTCACCTGAAACCGCTGCCTAAAATTTTCTCTTCTTTTGCGGCCACACTGTGTTACACCTGTCTCATTTGGAGAAACATGTATTCAAATTCTTATCATATATTTAAATTCTTTTTTTTTTTTTGCTTAACAATGTTGAGTTGCAAGAATTCGTTATATATTCAGGATACCAGTCCCTTACCAGATATATGATTTTCAAATATTTTCTCCATTTTTAAAGCTTTTTAACTTCTAAATGGAGTGTTTTTTTTTTTTTTTGAAGCACAGAAGTTTTACATTTGCATGAAATGAAATTAAACCACCTTTTATTTTGCCATTTGCGCTAAGGCACACAGTACTTAAGGAGCCTTTGCAAATCCAGGTCACAAAAATTTACTGCTCTATTTTCTTCTGAGACTCTCATAGTCTCATATGTTAGGTGGACATCTGCCATTCATCTAGAGCTACTTTCTGTGTGTGCTGGAAGGAAGGACCCGCCTCATTCTTCTGCATGCGGCACCCAGTGGTCCCAGCACCATTCACTGTAGTGTAGGATGCACCTGCCCCTCCTCCTGTCCCTCCCTCCTGCACTTGGCATCAGAACTGCAGCCTGCTGAATGGTTCTCCCGGGGTTTCCACCAATGAAATCCCTCATGTGAATCCCATGGAGGCACTTGCTCCTCAGAGGACCTGGACTAAGGAGTGGATTCACCAGAGGAAATTAGATTTCATGAGATGGAAA